CGGTGAATATCTGCGTATGATTTTACAGTAAATGTTCCTCTTTGTTTGCTTCCAGTTATCATTGCGTTTACAAAGATAATAAGCAAAATATGCTTAGTAAATATGAATGGTATATATTTTCTTTTAAATTTTAAGGGGATTCTCTTCATATTAAACATCTTAATGTTCCACTACTTTACATTGGTTTCTTAGAATTTCATTAAGCAATTTTAAAATAGTAAAAAATTTTAAAAGTATTTGGTTTCAGTCAGATAATTATTGATAATAGTGAAAAACTGTTATTACATTTCCCTTGTTGTAGACATTAATCAATCTATTTTGTATCAGTAATCAAAGTTAAGGAAATCCAGAATACGAATGACGGCGTTACTTAACAAGAAAGATTTTTAACTAATAAGGGAGGTCTCTGAAACTAATAAGGACTAGTGCAAGCCCTAAAAGTCTGGAATACGCAGATCTGCAGCAAAGACTCCCAAATTCAATTATTGTTTTTTTGGAAACTCTTGATCAAGCTTATGGCCATATAGATCTTGCTTATGGTCCTTTACACAACCGTGTAAGGCCTTCTGCTGACTCCATAAAAAAATCTTAAGGTCGGAACACTTTACTGCATATACATAATTTTTTTGTTCTTTCTCACCTAAGACGCTAGGCACGAACCCGGGATTGTTTTCAACATTACTTCATTCTAGACCTAGGGATTGCGACATTTTCACTTACATAAATTGAATTGGTGATTTGGCGGGATTTGAACCCGCGACTTCAAGGACTGAAGTCCTGCTTTCTAACCATTAGACCAGCCTGTTCCCTTTCCCCTATCAGTCAACCGTATCAGTAACAGTAATCCTCCTTCATATATGTTAAATAAAGAAAGCGCATCTTCTAATTCAGGAGCGTATATTTTATTTCATGACGTTTTCTAATACTAAAAATAGATCATTCCATATTGTTGTTAATGGTAGTATTAAAGTAAGGAACACAATTTTGGTCTCGTATTTTGATATGCTAATTTTTGCTGTTACAGGAGCTTGATAAAAATATTATTAACTTCTAGTTTTATTTTGCCCAACACACTAAAAAAAAACATCTGGAAGTTGTAATAAAGTGATATACGTTTGTACGGTTAAAAATAAATGAGTTTTTTTGTAACTCAACGTTCAGGTTAATTTGCATTCTAAACTAAACCAATTAGGATTGTAGCTGCAGTTAATTGAAATGGTTCTCTGTCAACTGTGGAATTGAAATAATTTCAAACACTACAGATTGTGTCGTTTAAAATATGCACGACAGTTGACCAGCAATACAATAATAAGGAAATTTAAGAAAACAACTGAGTGTCAACTAGATGATAATTAACTTGATCTTCAAGCAAATTCAAGTCGTTGTGTGGTGTATGATGAATTAAATAAATGTCAATATCGATGGCTAATGTGAAACTTCATTTAATGCTCTATTATATACATCAAAACACATATTTGCACACTTTTTTAACTCGAAGCTGAATGTCAAATTGTAGAAAAAACTATATCAAACATATATTTTTAACAAACGGCAACCTATCGTTAATAGACGGTCACATCAAAAGGTGTCATGTTCTTTCGGCCTCTATAAAAGTTTTCCAAAATTAAACAAAGGATGTTTTGTCCTCCAAGGTGTAGTAAAAAAGTTCCTACAGCTACAATATCATGTGTTTCTATCTAAATACATTGTTATACGTATAACATGGCCTACAAGGAAGTCAGTTTAAGTTACAGCCTATGTAGTACAACCTTAGGTGTCTTTATCTTACCCTGGGGTTAGTTAAGTTAGATTTAGCTCCAACAACAGAATGCTCAACGTCTTATTAGTGTGTTGTTAGTTATCAAATATAAATATTATGGTTGTTTAATATATTAAGTTTTACTACTTTTGGAGGGATAACAGTATTTATCTCTCCAGGATTAAATTATGTGAAAAATAGTAGCATGTCCGTATATTAAACTATTTATTCTTATGTATATTATATTTTATTGCATTTTATTGTATATTTCTTTTTTTTTCAAAGAGTAGTTATTTTTAAAGATACAGGAGTCAAATACCGTCTCTTTGCGATCGTGTTAGCTAATTAATAATTTTATTACTCAATTTTAATTAGGTTTGGTACGATCTTAGGCTATAGATCTGCATCAAAAGGTAAGCAGTGCTTTCAACAACGTTCAAAAATAGTTTATTTTATCAATAAATCCATTATTTATTTTGGTTAGAGTTCCAACCAGATAATAATTGCTTGTATAGGATCAAAGGGCCTTCCTAAGCCGACGGAATCCTTTAGAATCCCTCTTAAACTGGTTTGCCATTATATGAGTGAATATCCTGACATTACAAAATTACTCTTTGTTTTTATATTTTACAAATTAATAAACAAATCTAAATAATGACAAATAAATTATATCATTGTAAAAATTGATTTTTTGAAACCAATATTTAGTTCGTAGTGATGTTAGTACATAAGGTTAACAAAAATACTGCTTTTAAAATGATAGATAAAATAAAAAGTGGTTAAAATAGGTAAATGAAATCAATACAAATAATTTAGTATTGATGAATATTTACTTACTTTTAGTATCCATACTAAAGGTTGTAGTGTAAAATTAAATAGCTTTATCAGATACCATTTGTTAGCCAACAAGATATTCAATTACTGCATTTCATATTTATCATCGTAATGTAAAATGCCCAGGTTTATTCCCTACCTTACAAGTCTGATGAAATGGTTTCAACACAAAGCCACATAAAATAATAATAGGAACAATAATAATATTTATATTTGCATATATTAATGAACGTGCATATATTAGTAATCGTCAAAAATTGTTAGGTTTTTATATGTACAATTAAAGGTTTAAATTTTTTCGACAAATGCATAAAAATCAATTAAATTTATTGGTCTGCCAGACAATTATCACGTAAACTTTAGTCGTCTGGTTTTCAACATTGTTTAATTACATCAGTACAATATTTACATTATCGATATTGGTTTTAAGACCTACCTCATTTATTGAAATAATAAAAAATAAATTACGGTTGTTATTATGTAAGTAATTTACGTAAGTATCCAAATTGAATGCAGTAGTGTTTGAGTAGTCTAGTGTCAAAATAATATTAAGGCATAACTTAATGCCTTACATTAAATTATGTATATTATTTTACATAGTTGTAACGTATGTAAGTTATGTAATTAAGTCAACATTGCATAACTTACGTAATGTGCGAAACCAAGTTATAGATCATATAAAAAAAGTTAAAAAGATAATGCTTTTTCATAAAAAATAGCTAAAAAACCCATTATTTTTCGTTGTAAAATGAGGTTAAATAAGGCTAAGCCAATCAGGTTTGGACCGCTTTTGCTTACTTTTACGACTAAGAATTGTGATTTATTGGCTATTTTATATTCAATATTTTTAACTTGATTTCCTTTGATAGGAAACTTTACAAGCTAAATAAAAGTTATCTCAAAACTTTTTCTTAAAATCAACAATTATATAGTAATTTAAATTAAAGGTGGCCACCATTTTGACATTTTTAATTGAACCAACCTTTTTTTGTATATCTTACATGAACATTTTCTATTTTAACATACATACTGATTTTCACAACGATCGGTTTAAACGATTAAAAGGAAAAAATTTATATTTTAATTTTTGTTTGTTGTTGTTCCAGATCAATATACATTTATATATTTAATAAAAAAGGTTAAATTACCAGTGTTTGCCAATTGATCATGATGTCTATTTTACAGGAAATGCATATCCGTTGACAAATCGCCATTATCAGCCCTAATATAATTTCTTAATCTTTCCCATTACAAGAGCCAAACAATTAACTTCGAGTCGAGGCTCGGCCTTTATTTGTTTGTTTCTTCGTTTTAACGTGTAACTTTTGTGCATGTGTTTTCAAACTTCAAGACAAACCTGCACTGGGGAATATATTTTATATTAGGGCCGATGTTGGTGATTTAATCGCAGAAATAAATTTCCTGTAAAGGATAAAACAGAATCAAACGGCAGACACAGGTAATTTGACCTTTTAGATTTTGAAATTTTTATTTAAAAACACAAAATGGCGGTTATATGGTTAACGAAGCGGTTTTGGAAAAACTGATTATCTCCTTATTTAACGCCAAGAAATCATCACCTTATGTCCCCCACCTTTTTTGAACACCCTGTGTGTAAAGTACCTCTAAATTATTCTCAAACATACTTTTATGGTCTTGTACCACATTGAAATGTAAGATATATAAAATTAATTCTACTTTGAATCATATATTGTAAAAAACGAACAAACAGAGGAAGATAGTTAGCCTGAAAGAAAATTTAAACTATTACTGTTACCTACATTCACTTACTCATCGAATAAAACAAAGAGTACAGGTAAATAACCAAGTATATAATAATATGAACATGGTTTGCCAAGCCTAGCCCTGAATATAAAGTAGCAATTGACTTTTATACCCTCAAACGAGTTACAGTATCGACGCTAAACCTACCGGCGTTGAACAATTAAACATTTAATTGTTTACCGTTAAATAATAATTTACTTTATAGTTACAAAAAAATATCCAAATTAAACTACTATATCAAACATACCAAAAAGTTAAATACACACGTAAAATAACACTTCTTATGATATCTTTACACTTCAGCATCAGATGTCATGATGATTGGAGTTGATTAAATCAATTTGAAATTGATTACCACTTACCATATTTTATCGTCGTTTTTTGGTCGTTACTTGGTCCGTATCTCTTCACAGTCTTCATTAATGACCTCCCTGACGCACTTCAGAACGAATCTCTGCTTTTCGCTGACGATGTTAAGATTTTCTCAACTATATCTTCTTTAGATGACTGCCTCCGGATTCAGAGAGATCTGACTAGTCTTGATCGTTGGTGTGAGGACAACAGGATGAATTTGAATATCAAGAAGTGCCAGGTCATTACTTTTCATCGCTGTAAAGTCCCTATGAACTACAATTATTCAGTTCGCAACATAAATATTGACCGAGTGCAGCAAGTTAAGGACCTCGGCATCATCTTGACGCCCTCATTGAACTATCAGGCTCATGTATTGGATTTATGCTGTAGAGCAAACAGAACGCCCGGTTTCATCTTCCGTTTCTCAAAGCAGCTCAGCGGTTCAGAAGCTCTAAAGTCCCTTTACTGTGCCTTGGTGAGGCAAACTCTCGAATATGGTTCACCAATATGGAGTCCTCATCAAAAGTTATTAATAAATGAGCTGGAGAAAATTCAACGAAGATTTGTTCGAATGGTGGGCTTCAAGATGGGATTCCCATACCTTCAGGTGCCCATTGAAACTATATCCCTGGCACTTGGTCTTCAGTCGCTGGAGGAACGTAGACTCATTGCTGACACGGTCCTGCTGCACAAGATTATCAACGGAAGAGTCGACTGTCCTGACATGCTCCGCCAAATCCATTTCAAGACTCCTTCCAACACAAGGTCGACTGATCTGTTTATCAAGCAACAGCACCGCACTAGCTACTCAGCAAACAGCACGATGGTTCGAGTCCAGGGAGCTGGCAACAAAGTGACAAGGCATGTCGACTTTTTTCAAGACAGCGTAAATATACTGAAAAAGAAGATCATCAGTCTCAGTCAGTCCTAATTAAAAATTGTTTTTTGTTGTTCAAACTGTTACTCTTGTCTGTTAAAAATTTCACTTAAACATTTCTATTAGTCAATCTATTTATTTATCTTTCTCATTTGTTATTGTTGATAGTAGGTTTGTTGTTATTGTTTCATATTTTTTATTTATTGTTGTTGTTTGAAATTATTATTTATTTGTATACCTTTTGTTATTTTGTCAGTTTTTGTTTTGTTTGGCTAGGTTTGGCATTGTTACTGTTGCTTGTTATTAGATCATTATATATTGTTCATTTTATTTCTAATATTAAGCACAAAAATTGTTATTATCAGTTAAGTCATCCTGAGTTTAATGTTTTGTTTTGTATGCTGTAAAATGGAGATGTCCGTTGGAAATAAATAAATAAATATGTATGTACCATCTTGTAAAAGATTTATTTGACGTATTTTAGTACTTTCAGGAAGGCTAATTTAATAACACATAGGCTGCTGATAAAGAGGTTATAAAACATAATAATGGTTTAAAATAATATGGAATCGATATGAAAATAAAGTAAAATTTGAGTGAGACATTTTACACTGAACTGTATTACCATAATGGATAGTGCTTTCTGATGCATGTATATCTTTTGATATTTTGAACTCACCTATCCTGCAATTATAAATAATGATAAAAGTTTAAAAGTACTTAACAAGATCTTAGAATCAGTATTGTTTTGTATTTATTTCAAAATTAAGATCTAACGGAGTAAATAATAATCAAAGAATAAATTGCTGATGTGAGAATTGAAAACGTTTGAACAGAAAAAATGAGTCATTTATATATGATAGAATATTGATATACGTCCCTTAAAAAAGTATGCATTTAAATGGGACCTGAATATTTTATATGCGTTTTCAATACTACCTCTCCGCAGAATAAATATTTATATTTTGTTTATTTGAAATGCACTTCAGCGAACGTCCAACCACATAACAATCAATATTTGAATGGACTGTTTTATTACACTGAGACCACATAATATTTAATAGTGCTGATAACTTTTTAAATAATAAATAAATAAAAATGCTTTTATTGATCAAGCGTTTCTCAGTACAACTGCTTTTCAGAACAACTCTCGTCATATTACAAGTAACAATAACTTATAACTAACAATAAATAACAAACAAATAAATACAAACAAATTTTTATCACATAAAGTTTATTTATCTCGTAATAATAATTAATTTTAAGTTAATAAATTGAATTTATCAATCAATACATTTTTATAGGCAGTTATACAGGGTGTTTTTTTAAGTGTGCCACCATTGGGATCTCAGTAACTAATGATTTTACAGCAAACTTTAAAAAAGAGGTTCAAGAATAATGAAATAAACTTTTTGTAAATGGCCTCCATTTTCCAATTTGACGGTCAACTTTGAAATTTCTTATGGAACAACCTATATTTTATCGGATTTTTTCGGATAGAACATGCAATTTAAAATTTTTATTATTCTTGACATTTTTTCGATAAACCCACTCGTTTAGGAGTTACAGCCTATGGAACAATCACTTCCGGTGTACATTTTACATCATGTAGCTCCTAAACAAATAGGTTTATAGCGAAAATGCGAAGAGTAAATAAGTCAAATAAGTCTTAAAATTGCATCCACACCCAAAAAGACCATAAAATTCGTTAAAAATATTAATTCTATTATAAAAAAAATGGTGGCCATTTTCCAAAATGGTGGCAAACTTGAAAAGTGGAAAACTGTGTATTTTATGATCTTTATGGAATGTGGATGCAATTTTAAGACTTATTTGACTTATTTACTCTTCACATTTTCGCTATAAACCTACTTTTTTAGGAGCTACATGAAGTAAAATGTACACCGGAAGTCATTGTTCCATAGGCTGTAACTCCTAAACGAGTGGGTTTATCGAAATGTCAAGGATTAAAAAGTTTTTAAATTGCATGTTCTATCCGAAAACATGATTAAATATAGGGTGTTCCATAAGAAATTTACAAAAATTTGATTTCATTATTGTTAAACCTCTTTAAAAACAAGGGAATGTTCCCCATTTAAAGTTTGCTGTAAAATCATTAGTTACTGAGATCCCAATGGTGGCACACTTAAAAAAAAAACACACTGTTTATTGTTTTAGCGAATTTCCCATATAGGGAATAAGCTATTACCGTAGTACTCATGGTAAGACCTGGACCCGGGACAGATTTTTTTCGTTTTGAGGTCCCTAGAGGCTAAAAACACCATCCGTTAAAATGTATATATATATATAAGTCTATATATATCTATATGTGTGTGTGTGTGTGTGTATTTATTTATATATGTGTCCGTTAGCGCGATAACTCGACCAAAAACGATCCGATTTTGATGACATTTGGTACAAACGTGTAAACCTACGTTTATTCGACTGAGTTCGCGAACCAGCATGATCGGACAATGGAAACGTGGGTTATGGGGGGTTTTATGGGGTAAAAATGGGTTTTTCCCTCTTTTAACTCAAAAAACATAAAATTTTGCAGTTTCTTTCCAAACCATTTTGTAGAGCTTAAAAAAACAAATAATTAGTATATTGAAGCTTTATAATGCACCTAATGGTTACGGAGAAAATTCCAAAAAAATTTAAATTTAAAATCCCCATGTTATTCTTATGGAGAATAAGTAAACTGTTGTAGTTTGCTTGTTTATAACAACATGTTTTGCCCAAATTTGGAAAATGTTATTATTTCTTACCCTTCCTGTTGCAGCAAACCTAAGTATGTGTTAAACTGAATCTATTTAAATAGGGAATAAATGTGATATTTTTAAGGAGACATTTAAGTGTAAATCCAATCAGGCAAATGGAAATTCGCTTAGTCTGCAGGTTTGCTGTGGCGGGGGTATTTGCATGTGAATTGTTCAAAGCAGTGTGTGGATGGGTTCAAATAGATTTTTCATAATGCGTATATAAATAAGAATGTTATTTATATTTTTTAAATTGTATATAAAAAACATAAGGGCTCAATTGATAATCGATTTAAATGTAAGGGTGGAAAAATACGATAACAACTAGTAACTGCTTTTAACGACAAACTTAATGAAGGATATTATAATTTTTTTTTGCTTCAAGCCACATTTTTTTTTGATTAATCTTGCATACTCTGATTAATCAATTAAATACATTTTTCCCTGTGGCTGAAAGTAAAAAAATCCTTGGGTTTCTTTTTTCGTTTTTTTTCTTCAAGTCTTGTTTGCAATAACCAGAGTGTTGAACTTGGCCATATAACTTACTTTGTTAGCTAGTGATGACAGTGATCAATCACTAGCTCATGTTATTCAAGTTAATGTTGTATTATTATTTATATCATTTGCTTATTGTTCAACTTGAACGGATTGTAAATTAAATAAAGTTAAAAAGATAAATATAACTTACTAATTAACAATCTATATAAATAATGTTAGTAACTTTTTATTAAAATAAGTAGTGTGTATGGAAATGAATAGCATCTATTTGTTTGTTTATTTTTTAGTCCAACTAAATAATTCCTTATATTGATTTATTAAATTTACTAAACCAATCAGTTTATACTGCGTATTCCTAATTGTCTGGACATATTTTGTGAACTTGTTCCTTGGGCTAAGACAAACAGAAATTCCCATATACGTATGGGTCTAAAATGCCTAGATTTCTGTTTGACAGTTTGTTTGGGATTTTTAAGAATTATTTTATATCTCGGGCATTTTTCAAGATAGAAATTTCAAAATTGTAATAAGTGTGTATTTCAGTAGGTAAAAGGAGCTTACAAAGCTTTGTTCCTATATCTCAAGCCGTTTTAATACGGCGGCCATTTAAAATCTTTAATGCCAAATTTCATTAAAACAGTAAAAATTAAGAAAATTCTTGTTAAGATCAAAAAGATATAGAATTTAAATCAAAATCAAATAAGACCTAGTTTGGTAAAATCGGGTGAAAAAACGAGTTATCAGTTTTTTCCTACATTCGGTTACGCAATTTAATATAACTACCATACTGCTCTGTAAAATAACAAATAATAAACAATACGGAAGTCCTATTAAATTGCGTAACTGAATGTAGAAGAAAACAGATAGCTCGTTCCTAATTTATTCGATTTTAACAAACAAGGTCTCATTTGATTTGAATTTAAATTCTCTATCTTTTTGATCCGAACAAAATTTTTCTTAATATTTGCGGTTATCACGAAATTTGGCATTGAAGGTTTTAAATGGCCGCCATATTGAAATGGCTTGAGTCATTGGAATGAAGCTCTGTCTGTAAGCTCTTTCTAACTACTAAAATACACACTTATACCAATATTGAAATTTCTATCTAGAAAAATGCCCAAGATTTAAAATAATTATTAAAAATCACAAACAGACCGACAAACAGAAATCTAGGCATTTTAGACCCATAATTATATGGCATTTTATGTTTGTCTTAGCCCCAGGAACAAGTTCACAAAATATCTCAAGACGATTTGGAATCACCCTGTATAGGGATTACTCCAGCAACCACCAAGATGGCAGGTTCAGACTCTGTTCGGTAGGCGGATGCTACCCTGAGTGCTGCCTGACGCTGCACTCTGGCAAGCCGCATCCTATACATCTCCTTATTGAGCGCGTCTGCCCACACCTCCGCACCATACAGGAGCACAGACTGAACTGTAGACATCAACAGCCTTCTGCAACTGGAACGAGGACCTCCGACATTGGCCATTAACCGGCTAAGAGAAGAGATCACCTTAGCGGCCTTGTCCACCGTTCGGAATATCTGGTCCCGCCAGCTAAGCTTAGAGTCAACCGTGACACCAAGATACTTGGCGGCACGAACGGACTGGACTTCGACGTCCCCCACCCTCAACGGCACAATGGTGTCAATCCGCTTTTTGGTCAGAATCACGATCTCGGTTTTGTTCAGCGCGAGTGAGAGACCGTGATCTGCCATCCATGCGTTTATAGTTCGCATGACTCGGTTTAATTTTAGCTGGGCCAGCTCAACACTACGAGCAGCTATTAAAGCTG